GCAGAACAAAACTACGAAGGTCCAGGCAAAAGATGAGGACGAGGGAATGGATGAGGAAGATGAAGACGAGCATGGTGAGACTTTATGCGGAGCTTGTGGCGAAAATTACGCTTCAGACGAGTTCTGGATTTGCTGTGACATATGTGAAAGATGGTTCCATGGCAAGTGCGTGAAGATCACACCTGCCAGGGCTGAGCACATCAAGCAGTACAAATGCCCCACCTGTAGCAACAAGAGGGCCCGCCCGTGATTTGACCAGGCCTTGACTTTTTCTCGGGTTTGTCCCTTTCCTGATCGTATCTTCATGGGCGAACTTGATGGTGTGTACAATTGTTGCTAGTCTTGTTTTATTTCAGGATAGTCTTTGGATGCTCTTGCAAGCACTCTTGTTTAGATGTTCTAATTGTTTATTTGTAGAGATTTGATGTGTTGTGAGGAGATTGGAGGCATCTTTGTTTGTGGTCTTTTAACATTTGTTCTATGCTGCTAAAACTGACTTGAGTGCTATATTTATTTACCAGTTAGACTTTTTTGAAATCTGTTGTTTAGAAATTGATCTGGTCAGGTTACCTTACCTACTAGAGGCTAGGGATCTTTTTGTTATTTTTGTGTTAGATTTGTCACAGGTTACCTTACCTCTACTAGAGGCTAGGGATCTTTTTGTTATTTTCGTGTTATATTTGTCACTTGTGTCATGTGTGCATCTCCTTCACATAGACATGGCCACGGGTCAACCGGCCCGCCGACCCGGCCCGGACCCGGCCCAGTCAAACCCGTTGACCACGGGTCCGGGCCCGGCTCGGATTTTCAACCGGGCCGGTTCAGGGTCGTCTTTTTTTTCGACACTGACCCGGCCCGGGCCGAGTCCGGTTCGGCACGGGAAAAATCAATTGCTTTTGAATTTTTCTATTTTTTTTATTTTTTTTTTAATTTTTTCGGGTCAGACCCGGGTCGGGCCTGGCCCGGCCCGCTGGGTCATGGGCCCGGGACGGGTTTAGGGCGTGCCGGTTCAGGGTCGATAAAACCCAACCCTTCGGCCCGCGGGGCCGGGCTGGGCCCTGAACCGGCCCGCCATTTGGCCATGTCTACCTTCACATAACGTTGGGTATAGTTACAAAAGTGAGTTGGGGTTTGAGCTAATTACAATAGGATACNATGGAAACAATAAAATTTATTAATAAAACACATAATTAAAAATGGCTAAATAACCGACTGAAAGTAGCTAATAACTGAATGAGAGGGAGGAATACACGTTGGAACGATTATAGCCTAGATTTTACTATACTAAACACACAGAGGAGACAAAAAAGCTAGAAAAACTAAAGAATTATCTAACTCCCACTAATGCAGAATACTATTTACCCAAAAAGCGAATGAAACACGAAAAAATTACATGGTTAACATATATAAACAATAATGCTAAGGAGCCAACAACCAATGGGATAGCTTCACGTGGGGCTATCCCACATGGCTCGTGGAGCTGTCCCACATTGGAGCCATGTGGGACAGCCCCACATAGAGCTGTCCCATTGGCTGTTGACTCCATGACGAAGCCAACAGTTGGCTCCTTAGCATTCCTGCATATATAAAACTTATTGACCGAAAAACTACAGTTAATTTTTTGGTACATTTGTATACAACCCTTATTCCTTCTTTTTTTATTTTTTTTTTTTTTTTTTTTTTT